TTCGTGGGAGACCAAGAACAAAATTCAATGTAAGATCTTGCCATATTGTATCTGGAACAGGCAAAAGGGTATCAAGGCTAGTGTTTTGAGCTTGTCCCTTAGCTTTCTGACATATTGGGCATCGTTGAACAAAATGACCAATGTCTTTTTTGACCCGAGGCCAATAAAATCTCACTTCAACCAAGTTGATTGTCTTATCTCGACCAACATATCCACCTAAATCCCCTGCATGTAGTTATCGAATCAAGTGTTTATGCAAAGAAGAACGAGGAATGCATAATTGTGTTCCCTTAAACAAGAATCCTTCTTGAAGAAGGTAATCAGGTATAAATTTCCTATTATTACATTGAGCCCATATATCGCCAAAATCATCATCAGTTGCATAGAATTCCCTTAAACAATCGAACCCAACTACTTCCGTGCTAATTGTAGCTAAAAAAGATGCGCGTCAACTTAATGTGTCTACTACTTTATTCTGTTGGCCAGATTTATGTTTTATAACAAAAGTAAATTTCTGCGAAAATGTAATCCATGGAGCGTGCATTCGATTCATTGTTTTTTGAGGATTAATAAACTTCAAAGCTTGATGATCCGTAAATAGCACAAATTCTCGTTGAACCAAGTAATGTTCTCAATGCTTTAATGCTCAAATAACGGCATAAATTTTCAACTCGTAAGTAGTCCACTTTTGTCGAGGTTCACTAACCTTTTCATTGAAAAATTCAACTGGGTGGCGTTCTTGGGATAACACTGCTCCAATTCCCATAATTGAAGCATCACACTTAACTTCAAATATTTTCTCAAAGCTAGGTAGTGCTAACACCGGTGTACTGCATAACTTATTTTTTATTGTCTCAAGACTATCTTCACGTGTTTTTCCCCACAGGAATTGGCCCTTTTTTAGCAATCGTTGATAGGTGCCATGACTGTACTGAACCTTCGAATGAAGCGCCTATAAAAAGTTGCTAATCCATGAAAGCTCTGTACTTCTCACATGGTTTTAGGAGCTGGCACTCGCATATTGCTTTCACCTTCGCCTCATCAACTTGAATACCATCTTTACCCACCATAAAACCAAGAAATAGAAATTGGTCGGTCATAAAGCTACACTTTTTGAGATTGATATACAATTTACTATCCCTTAGGGGCGAGAAAACTTCTGTAAGATGTGATAAGTGCTCCTTTTCATTTTTGCTATAAATATGAATATCATCAAAATAGACCACCACAATTTTTTCACAAATGGACGAAGAACTTAGTTTATCAGTCATATGAATGTGCTCGGTGCGTTCGATAGCCCAAATGGCATCACTAACCACTTGTAGAGACCATCTTTCATTTTGAAATTTGTTTTCCACTCATCGCCAGGGCGAATCTGATCCGATGAGAGCCACTCCTTATCAAGTTTGGTAAATATTACTGTACCTTCTAACTTGTCGAGCATATCATTATGACGCGGGATGGGAAAGCGATATTTGATTGTTATTTTATTTATAGCACGACTGTCTATACACATTCACCAACTACCATTCTTCTTTGGAATGAGGAAAGCGGGGACTGCACAAGGACTCTTACTCTCACGGATTAACCCTTTATCAAGTAATTCATTAACCTGTCGTTGTAACTCTTCATGTTCAACTGGGCTTATATGATAATGTGGCAAGTTAGGTAAACTAGCTCCACACACCAAATCAATATGATGTTGAATATTTCGCATAGGGGGCAACTCGTCAGGTGCTATCTCAGCAAAATCAGCAAGTACTTTCTGAACTTTGGTGGGAATTTGTATAGTTACTTTTGATTGACGTTTTACGACTAATGACAATACTGTGCGAGGCTCTTTTACTTGTTCAAAGAATTCTGGGCCAAGATGTTGGTAAAAAGTGGTTTCTCTTCCTTGATAGCAAGGTTGGTTTCCACAGGTTGAGATAGTGGTACCAAAAACAATCTTCCTATTTAACCACCAAAATATAAAAGTACTAACTCGTCCTTTGTAAGTGGCATCAACGTCGTAGTTCCATGGACGACCTAATAAGATGTGACGAGCATCTATATCTGCTACGTCGCATATGATTTCATCTTTGTAATATTTTCCAATTGACAAAAGAACCTTACATATCTCTAGAACTTAAACTTCAGGGCCATTTTTAATCCATGCAATCTTGTATGGAGAAGGGTGTCTCTCGATCTTCAAATTTAGAGCCTTTACCATTGCTTTCAAAATGACATTCTCACTGGTACTGTTGTCAATGATCACATTGCATACTTTATTACGAACAGTGCATTGAGTCCTAAAGATCTTGGGTTGTTGAAAGGTATCGGGCTTTTTTGGAGCAAGCAAAAGGCGTTGGATAATTCACGCCAATTCTTCCCCTGTATTTGCATCTGCAACATCACCACCCTCATAATCATTGTCTTCAAGATTTTGTTCTTTCCCACTGTCGCCTTCTTCTATGAAGTTAATGAATCGCCTGTTTGGACAACTATTTGAAAGATGACCTAGTTAATTGCACTGAAAGGACTTTCCTAGATTAGGACACACATGAGGGTTATTATTGGGCCGTTGTTGTGCTTGGGTTCTATTTTGGATGTTAGACCGAACAGGATTTAAAGTTCCACCTTGACTTTGTGTCGAACTCTGAATTGGGTAGTATCCTTACAGTTATTGGTGTTGTTGCCTGATGTCTTTGCATCCTTTGGATTAGAACAAACTTCTTGAACTAGTCGTCGAAAATTACCTTGAGTACGAAATGTTGTTCTGTTCATCTGATTTACCGCATTTGTCATGTCCAAATCTCCTGACGAGCCAGTCAATCTTGAATGACTAATTTCAAGCCTCCTATATGTCGAGCGATTAATTGAGCTTTAGTTTCAGAAGAATTAACTCGGGCGTTTAATAGATAGAATTCCTTCGTGTATTCATTTATCGTCCGATTATTTTGTCAACAATTTCGATATTGTTGGTATGAAAATTGCTCATAATCTGGAGAGACGAATCACCTTTGCAATAACCGCTTCATTTTGGGGCAAGTTTGTACACGTTGTTTTCCTTGTCGTTGACGATTAAATTAAAATTGTTCCCACCATATGAAAGCTCCATCCTTTAATTTGTATACCACAAGTTTAACTTAACTTTGTTCCAAAATATTCAAATAGTCGAAACAATTTTCGAGATTATGGATCCAATCCAAAAAATTTTCAATATTTAATCGACCATCAAAACTTGGCAAGTTAATCTTCATCTTAAATTCTCGAACATTTGGACCCAATGGTTGGCCCTTGGTCGAAAATTTTCTTCTTCTTCAGATGAGTGTCAAACCCTCGTGGTCATCTTTTTTGAAAACCCCTATCTCTTGGTTGCCGATCAAAATCAAGTCCTCGGTCAAAATTGGTTCTTTGATCAAAATTACCTCTCTAGTCAAAATCATCACAATCCTTTTCCACTTCTTCGAACTCGACTCAGCCTCTTCTCTGCCGTTCCATATTCCTCATTGCTGACCACTGGCTCCATTGTCGCCATCAATTAGAGCCCTTCGTCGAAGGTCGGCGTCATCACATGGACCATCGTGTCCTCGATTTCTCCTTTCATACACCTGCAGTGGGATGGGCTTTCGAAAATCACGATTCGAGTTGTTGTCGCACCGACCATGAGGGTTAGGGTTTTGTTGCCGAAGTCGGTTATTTGCAAAGGGTTGGTGTCGTCTTTCCTGGCTGAGGTTGAAGTGGGGTTGGGGTAGAGGTTGCGTTCTCGTACTGGCTGCAACCCTTGGACTTCGTACTTCCCGATTAATGTCCTAGCCGAAATTTGAGTTATGTTCTTTCTGTCGGATTGGTTGTTTTGCCATGTATTCACTTAACTTAATTATTCTCCTTTTCCCTGTTTCTGGAACGAGTATGTACTTCACAGTTAACGCAGTCACTGCGTGAGATTACAAAGAGTTTCGTCGATCCCCTAGATTTTTTGTTCGAGTTTGTCGAGCCTCAGTTCATCTTTGGTGATCCGATTGCCACCAGTACCTTCGTCGGCCATCAGATTAAGGTGAATTCCTTGCTCTTATACCAATTTTGGTGCGGAAGCGATAATGAAATTCTTGTACCAAGAATTGAAATAAGAAAATCTAGGAATAACTTGCTTGTATTGATTTGATAATGAATGAATAAAAATTGTACACTGCGTCCTATATTTTTAGGCAAATTATCACTATTCCTAATAGTACTAGGAGATTGAAATAAGGAAACTATGAAATTAATAAAACTCCAATCTAATTAAAACTCATGTAAAGAAGCTATAATTCTAATAAAATATAAAAGTTCTATTACAAGAGAACTAAGGGTTCGTTTGATTGTAAAGATGAAATTTGAATGGAAATAAAACGAATTTCAGGGAATTGAATTGCCTAAAAATTATTTTACTGGGAATTGTCAATTATTTTGTTTGATTGATATAATTTTTAACATGAAAAATGTTGAAATAAAAATATTTTCTTTGTTTTACATGAAAATTATCAATTAAAGGGATATAATTTACTGGTATTGGGGATAAAATTTGTTTCCATTACCAAAAAAAAAAGCAAAGAAAATCATTATCTTTAGGTATTTGTTTAGCTTTGTTTTACATGAAAATTATCAATTAAAGGGATATAATTTACTGGTATTGGGGATAAAATTTGTTTCCATTACCAAAAAAAAAAGCAAAGAAAATCATTATCTTTAGGTATTTGTTTAGCTTTGTTTTACATGAAAATTGTCAATTAAAGAAAAATATTTTTTTACAATTAGAGATAGAATTTGTTTCATTGCAAGAAAAAAAAAGTAACAATACCCTAAAAAACCCTTGGTTTTCAAGGAAAATTTCAACTTCCAAGAAAACCAAATTCCAAAGAAAAAATATACCAAACATACAAAATTGAAAGAAAGTGAAATTCGAATTCGAATCAATCAAACATGGCCTAAATAGAAAATAAATTTCAAGAGATAAAACATATCAAAAATATTACGAATCCCTTAACCAGTCGCATCCAAAATTCAATTCGTAAGCCGACTGAGATTGCGAAGACAAAGCAAAACACAGTGCAACTACCCAACAGGAAAACACTCGACAATCTTAAATACTTCCGGACAATGACGCCTGTCGGAATATTTGCCGGAATTTGCCTTTTGTTGGCCATATATTGTGCTGTGGACCCATTCCAGCACAGTCCAACTTCTGGATTCCCGAACTTTGAAACTTTTAAGGTGGAAATAACGCCTTGGTCTGGAATCCCTGTTGAAAAAGACACTGAAAATTTGCTCCAGAAATCTAAAATCAAGTTCTTGAATGAAGTGCAAGGACCGGAGAGCATGGCATTCGATCCCATGGGTCGCGGTCCGTACACTGGTGTGGCTGATGGGAGAGTTATCTTTTGGGATGGCTATAAGTGGACTGATTTTGCTTTTACTTCGGCTAATCGGTGAGTCCTGGATAATGGGTTTTGTATAAATTTTGTTTTTAAATTTTTTGCCTAATGATTGTTAGATTATGAATTTCAGTGTAAAAGTGTTTGAGGTAATGCTTATTAAAGGTTTGTCTTTTATGTTCCTATTTTTGTTTTTCCACCACGCTGTTAATGAAGAGGAACTCCGTTTTATTTTTGGGGGTTTCAAGTGACTTGGACTGTTTCATACTTTCATAAGATTTTTAATTCTATATATGGAACAAATTCTGTTTGTTGATTCCACATCCTGTCAACAAGGGGAATAGAACCTCTTTCCATCATACTTACTCGAAATAGACAAGTGTCAGACTACTTAGCCAATAGAGCTGGGTCTTGTGGCCTATTGCACTCTAAGGCATAAATCGGTTTGTGGCATTTTTTCAGCAAAATGACAGTGTTTCAATAGGCTTAAAGTGTTTGTAGTTTACTTGACTCACGATTTATATTTATATTCTTGTCCTCAGATTATAGTTCCTGCATTTGGAATTTATAAGGATCTATCTTGAATGAAACCTTATAAAAAACTACCTTCTGGTTGCATGTCGGGCAAAACTTATTTAATGCTGGGGTCAATTTTTGATTTTTAATTTAAGTTGTCCTTGCTGTGCATAACTACTAAGTTGATCGCTTGTATGTTAGGTTAGACTTGTGTCCTCTTGTATGAGCTCAAAGGTTTGACCTCAGCTGCTTCACCCCACTACTGACTCGAAGCTCCAATCTCCTGGTCATAACCTGTCTTCAGTAGGAGTAAATGTCTTGTATAATGAGTTCGGTACTGTAGAGGTGCAGTGTCTTGCCTTCATGAGCTTGTTCAAGCTAGTGCTCTCCTTTCTGGACTCAAACTTGATGGCTTTTTCTTGTCAGTGTGCTATGCTAGACATTAGTCCTAGTTAAATGTGCGGTAACATCATATCCCACAACTTTCCCATGTTAGATTTTCTCAAGTTGCTAGCTTTTTTAGTGTTTCAAAATCAACAATGACCAGCGTTTGGATGAGTGTCTCATTGTGCCTTGTCACGCCAAGCTCACCAAATGTCACCTCACTCTGAGAATGAAGTGTTAAGGTGTGATTGAACTAAGGACAAGTATCCTAATTATCCAATTTTTAGCATCAATTTTCTATATATATGAGATAACTCATGAAATATGATGTGAACTATCTTACAAGGAGAATTTAATTGTGCATCCTTACGCTTCACCTGAAAAGATTTTAGTATCAGGATTACACATTGAAGGTCTTGCTTGACATTTTAGCACTAATAAGATTAAATTTCTAATGAAAAATAGGTTTTATTGAGATTTTGGCAATAATTAGCCTGGGTTGTTACTTGTTTAATTGGTATCAAGATTTAACTTAAGTCTCTTATAAAATAGATGTCAAGGGTTTGAATCCTGGGATACGCGATAGAATTTCTGAGGGGTAATATGGGTACATGCTCTCCTAAAGCGGATAGTGCATATGAGTTAATGGATTGCACACATGCCGGGGTTCTTACAAGAAGTGCACATTTTTTCAAACATTGAATATCATAACCTTAAAAAAATTAATTAACCTTTTATTAATCATTAAAATATGTTAGTAATTAATACATAATCAAGGAAAGAATGGAAATAATTATAACAAGTTCCAGAAAAGTAGACCTCGACTTTGATACTATAACTATAATGTCCCAAATTTCAAGTAAATCTAGGGAGTTACAAAGTTTATTCTATTCATATAATGTCGAAAAATACATTGTAATTATAAAAAATTTCTATACAAACAACACGACTTTAGTAACTAAAAATCATTGTGGTTTGAATGTCAGGTCTGGCCTATGTGATCCAAAACCATCGATTATGGACTACTTGAGGAACGAGCACATCTGTGGCAGGCCTTTGGGGCTAAGATTTGACAAAAGAACAGGTGATCTATACATTGCAGATGCATATTTTGGGTTAATGAAAGTCGGGCCTGAAGGTGGCTTAGCAACATCGCTGGCAACTGAAGCTGAAGGAGTTCGACTGGGATTTACAAATGACTTAGACATTGATGATGAAGGGAACATTTATTTCACAGATAGCAGCACTATATACCAAAGAAGGTAGGTCTCAATTATATTTACCATGTTCAATACTCAAAAATTGATGTTGATCTTCAACTCTTTGCATCTGGATCTGATGAATCAATCAGAAGATAGAGAATAGAAATTTCATAGCCTTAATTACTTTCTTGGTTGGAAGTTTAATGAGATGGAAGATACGGGTAATAGCTTATTCTATTATAATATCTACGACCAGAAACCAATTATTTGCACCATATTGTGGTCTTTTCTATTACCTTCCCTTCTGGACGAGTTTCTATAGTTCTCATGTGGTACTTGTTTCAGGAACTTTCTGCAGTTAGTTTTTTCTGGAGAAAATAGTGGGAGGGTGCTTAAATACAATCCAGATACAAAAGAAACCACTGTTCTTTTTCGGAATCTCCAATTTCCAAATGGTCTGTCCCTAAGTAAGGATGGTTCGTTCTTAGTTTTCTGTGAGGGTTCGGTTGGAAGGTATGTCCATTTGTTCATTTTAAATGAGAATGATCTTACGCATGCTATACAAAAATCCCGTATATGTTGAACTTTTTGCGCTAATTATGTAGGTTGCGCAAATACTGGTTGAAAGGTGAAAAAGCAGGGACCTCTGATGTAATGGCTGTGCTGCCTGGCTTTCCTGATAATGTCCGAACAAATGAAGATGGTGACTTTTGGGTAGCAGTTCACTGTCGTAGAACCATATATGCTCATTTATCAGCTCTATACCCAAAACTCCGGTTCTTCTTACTGAAGCTTCCAATTCCTGCGAAGCTCCATTATCTGATGCAACTTGGAGGCCGCCCTCATGCAGTGGTCGTGAAGTACAGTCCGGAAGGTGAACTATTAAAGATTTTGGAAGACAGGCAAGGAAAAGTAGTTAAAGTTGTGAGCGAAGTTGAGGAGAAGGATGGAAAGCTTTGGATGGGAAGTGTCTTGATGCCATTTGTTGCAGTTTACAAATTAAACTAAGTATTAGAATAATACTATCTAGCACCATACTAGGCTACGTTAAGTGAGAGTCTCATTGAAATTAAGTGATTCATTTAATTAGTCTTCTCATTTAATGTCACATCAGTGCCCTAGACTTGTGTTTTGACACCAGTGGTGTTAAATAGTATTACTTTTCTTATTGTGGCCTCCTCATTTGTAATATTAAAAATTCCTTGTAATTATGTAGTGCCTCATCTTCCTAGTCATTTACTTGATTAAAATAGTGGTTTTAACACTTTATTTACAAATGTTGCAGTATGTCTTGATATATATCTAGAAATCATATGGCTTTTGTGCAGTTCATTATTCTAATGGCAACCATGCATTTCATATTTTATATGAAAATGTCAGAACTATTTATTTGGCAATACTAAAATTGCTCTTGTGCCATCGAGGATGAGTAATAGAAAGAGGCTTTTTTGTTAATACATCTTTTGTTCTTGTTTAGTTCGGGTATGCTCGGAGTACTTGTGTATGAGTTTTGATCTGTAGAAATTTATATTTACCGATTGTCATCAGTTCGTAAAACCTAGCTTCCTATTTAAGGGACGTTTTTCTTATTGTTGTAATTGTGAGAACATTTCTTTCTCGTTTGGAAGGCTCAACCCTGCACTTCGACTTCAATTATGGGAATAATCTGAAGAAATGAAAAGTGCACGAACTCTCAGAAATAATCATACATAATCCTTAATTAAAGTTTATCATAAGCCTAGTCTAAAATTCCTCAAAAAAATAACATTTTTATGATTATCAACAATAATCTAACAAAAAGAAGATTATTTAGGACAGGTTCAATGAATAGTGGAAATGGAATGGTAGTCAGACAGTTAGAACACCCTATCTTTAGAGATAAAGAAGGACATGAACTTTTTGTACATTGTAAGCTTCTTTTATTGGAACGTTTACAATCATATTGGTGGACGGCAACGGAATTGTTAGAGCTAACATTCCTTTTAGAAGTAGCCTCGTCTTTTTCTCTTTTTGGATTTGTTTTGGTTAAGGTGGAGGACATTGCTTCGGTGCCAATAGGGAGGATATATTTGAGATTTACCTTCGATTGTAATTTTCAGAACGAGCGAGAATGGATCATAAACTAGAGACGTCGTTAAAGCTTGTCGCATTTCTCTTACCTTATGCATCTTAAGTACCAGTTAGCTGTGATAGTGATTGGAAGTTTATCTAAATTGGCTCGACAAAATTGAATAGAGAGCACCATTCAGGCCTTCTTATAGACAATGAATCTGGTATTTCAGCCAAAATTATGTTCACGCTTGAGATAGAATTAGCATAAAGCAAGTTGGTGGGGATAACTTCTCTGAGAGGCTCATCATATCATGCCAAGCAGCTGGCCAAATTGGCCTACCATCTCCTAACAAATTATTTGGACAAGATTTGCAGATTATGTGCCACTGGTGATGCACAAACAGACGACGACAACTTAGTGTCCAGGTATTCGACCAGGAACCAACACATGGGAAAAAGAACAGCAGATCACGAGAGGAAAAGGTGGCAAGAATTTGAAATATCAGGCAACTTTAAATAAACTTCATGACAGATTAGTCCAAATTGAATAATGAATACTTGTCAGCGCATCACGTTCCCCAGTTCAACTACGATAACATGCGTATAATAATTTTGAAATTGAAAAACAATGTACAACTACAGCATCCTATCCATATTCGTTCCATACGAAGAGCTCTGAACCCTTATTGCACCAGACTTTGAATGCTCTTACCCATGTATTTGATTTACCGTAACTCGATGACTGATAACGAACATCATCATCACAGTACCTGTTTGCATTCTGTTTGCATTCACCTGATAAGAGAGAGACAATCAGAATATAAATGTAATTACACCAGAATCGCATAACATTACTAAACATCGTATAAATAACTCAAACAAGAAAAACCAAAATCTTCTGTAAGTAGTTTCATTTGATGCTCGGACTCGGGTACGGGTATCCGGTATGGGTACATATCTAGGTGTCAGATCTTTTATTTTCTAAAATATAAGATACGGAGACATGGTTAAAAAGAGTCCAATTTTCAGACACGGGTACGTGGATACGTCTTTCAAGGTTCAACTTTTTTACTACTTCAAGAAGTCATTTTGAATAAATCAAAATCAATAATTCACAAAGAAGGAAATGGATATTGAATACGGAGTTGAGACGAATAAAATAGAATTTTGGAGTTTAGTTTTCAATTATAAACATTATTAAATGTTATACAAAATAGCAAACAAGGGACTTGATTATAATTTGAACTTAGTAAAGAACTAATTAGAAACGGGAAAGAAGAAAAGGAAAGAAAAGAAAAAAGAAAGAAGAAAAGCAAAAACAATGAAGTATCCGATTAAAATTTGAAGGATCCGACACATATCTCATACCCATACCCATGTCGCGTCGTGTCGTGTCCGACACGGGTACTCCAACTATTTTGAAGAGTCCGAGCATCAGGAAAAAAAAAAAAAAAAACTTGTATGCGACCTCTAAAAAAATTGACTCAAGTCACGCTGCTCCATGTTCAAGCCACATGTTAACAGAAGTTCATGCACAAAATAACCTTTGAAATCCTAGTCAGCATTTTCAAAAGCCAGGAGATTTGGGTGGGGATAGTTCTTTAATGCCAACGGAAGCCAACTCATCAGATTGCTAACAAGAAAAAAAAAAAAAAAAAAACTTGTATGCGACCTCTAAAAAAATTGACTCAAGTCACGCTGCTCCATGTTCAAGCCACATGTTAACAGAAGTTCATGCACAAAATAACCTTTGAAATCCTAGTCAGCATTTTCAAAAGCCAGGAGATTTGGGTGGGGATAGTTCTTTAATGCCAACGGAAGCCAACTCATCAGATTGCTAGTGCAATCATATATGAGAAACTCAATTTAGTGGCAACGAAGGAAGCTTCCAATCATATAAATTAACCACCAATCCTTAGTTCATCTGCGTATTTCAAATGAACGATACTATTTATCAACATTGATGGCCATTATCATGTTTAGTTGGAATGGAATGATAGGTCCAATACCAATCATATAAAGTAACCACCAATCCTAAGTTCATCTGCGTATTTCAAATGAATAATGCTATTTATCAACATTGATGGCCATCATCATGTTTAGTTGGAATTGAATGATAGGTCCAATACCAAGGGTCTCGTGTCCCTGCATTCAATTGAACCTATCATTTAATGTCACTGTCTTGCCACTAGGGTGATGAAGGTCAGCAATGATGACAAATAGCATTATTCATTTCAAATGTCATGGTAACTAATAATTACAGTAGTACACATTAACATATCAAAGAGTGTCATGACACTACCAGAATAGAACTTACCATCGAAAGGAAACAATACGAGTTTGATACAATTCCTGAATCAACACTTAGTTTGATGCTGAACCAGCAGCACAAGGAGGCTGTGTTTCGACCTCAGTCAAAGGAGAGTTTCCACCCATCTCTACAATCTCGAGTTCAGTTGTATCTGGGGTCAAGTTATCGTCTAAATTATTTGATACTGCAGCCACATCGGTTCTACTGTCTTCTGCAATCTCAAGATAATCCATCATGCGTGGTACAGTTGCAGTACCCGGGTTAACCTCTCTATGAACTTCAGTTCCGGGGTCAGGCGTTGGGGTTGAACTGTTGCGAGCAAACAACCTCTCCTTCCAGCCTCTTGTGCTCTTTGTTATGGACTCTCTGTACCTGTGGGGGAAAAAGGCACATGGCACATAGATTCGTCAAAGATAAAATTTAATCCTCTGCCTTCGACCAAAATATCTTTTCGGGAGTCGAAGTATTTTCAAGTGTTCGGTTGAGTATAAAGATCTAATATCTGTATTGTCCCTCCACCAACTTTCTGTACCTCCTGGTCTTATTCTTTTAGCGATTCTAGTCAAGTTGAAGGGGAATGAATGGCACACATCAAATCTCAAACTGGATGCTAAATTTGGCACATCAAGAAAACTTAATGTGACATTAGCAATAGGACTAGGGGAGTAAATAACATGCAACCCAGTCCAGTTTTACGCACCTCACAGATAATGCATTCAGTCGAGATTTCAGAGACTCTGAGAATGACTGGAAATCTGATGGTCCAGCTATATCTTGACTATTGGGGGAAGTCTGAGCAGGAGACCTCCTACAAGACAACATAACATATAAGCTGCAATGAACAGCAAACTGAACTCATAGCTAACTCCTTGAGGGAGTTGAACAACTTGAAACAAAGATCAAAAGATATAGGTACCGATTGCTTGAGGAAGTTCCAAGTTGATTAGTAACAGCACCTGATCCCGATGCTGTGGTGGTGATGTGGTCAGCTTGGGAGGAAAATTGTGAAGTAATAAGCTGTGCAGAATCTTCTCCAAGGGTAATAAACGGTGAATTCGAGCTAGCTATCATGGCTGTAGGAAATGGTCCAGGACCACCTCTTTGAGCAGGCGAAGTAGCAGAAGTTGGATTCGGATTACTTGAGAACACTAAAAATCGGGGATGGGTTCGTGTAGAAGACCTACTCCTCTCACCTTCCCTCCTGGCAAGCTGACGAGCCCTGCCCATCGCAGCAGCTGCAGCTAAGTGCTGAATGATGCGCTCTTCAAGTTCAGAGTCACCTGCACTAACGGGTAACTGCAAAAAAAGTTCAAACAAATTTATATTACCAGATCTAGCCATAATAAATTCAACATCAGGTTGCTAAATTGAAAATGAAGTTGAAAGAAATGTTCATAAACATTAGGAAGGGATCACAAACACGCTGCAATTCGAAGTCTCTCAGGGCTGGATGATGAAATATAGCTGTGTTTCTAGGTGGATTCATCCGCACATTTCTCTCGTGCTCCACGGCATCAAGCAATTCCTGGCTGCCAAATAAACGGATAATGAAGCCCCTCTTCAAATGAGAAAACCAAGAAGAAACATTTCAGAAACAAGACAAGCAGGGAAAGGTCAACTTAGTTTACCTGCTGGAATCCTTCAGGCTGATAGACTGCCAACACATTGGGCACTGACAGCTTCTCTGGCACCTATAGATTTATCGCAAAATAATAAAAACATTTACATGCCAACACCATCTTATAGTAACATGGTACGATGGATAGAACTAACATAGATATTAAACATTAAAATATTTTGGTCTCCGTTAAAACAAAATGCACAAGTGAAGACTGTAAATTAAAAGGTTAAAAAGTCCAAAGTAACAATTAAATGGCCTCACAGCTCAAATCTCTCTCTCTCTCTCCCTCCCTCCCTCCCCTAGGAAAATTCGGAAGCCCAAAAGAAAGGGGTAAAAGAACGACTCAAAACTTGGAGCAAGAAAATTAGCAAGCATAAGGTACCCCACCTTTAAATTGAAGAAATCACCAGCTTTGTCATTTTTCCATTCTGAAGTTTTCAATTGACCAAGAAGAAAGCCCTAAAGGTTCTATAGTCCTGGTCTTTACAGAATCAGACACCCCTTTCTGCAGAACTCTCAACTCAACTAAATTTTTTAACCTTCTAAAAAACTGAGGAAAAAAGATCAAAGAGGACTGATGGTCCACGTCAGTAACAAAGCCAAATTTGACAGCAGATCAGCAGAAAACTCTCTTCAAGAGAGACTTGTCTCCCTTCCTTGCATAGCTAGAGTAGAACAAAGGTCATTTCTCCAGTAAATTCAGAACTGTGTTTCTTGGTATACCTTTTTTCTATTATAACGTAGTACTGGAAACCTAGTAACGTATATATAAAGAGAGAAGACATTTTCAAATTTTTATGTTCAAATATACACGGTAGTAGCAGGAATAGCTTTTCCAAAGCTTTCATGCGGTGGGTCTAGACTCTAAAGTTCGAGTGCAGCACGCCCAACATCATACTCTTCCCAAGCCAAACTCATGGCAAACTTGACCATCTATCCGCCTGAAAAGCATTCCAGATAAAGTTATATGTAGATCCCTTAATTCAAGGTATTTATGGACTTCCACACACACAACTAATGCTTGTTTTGAATCAGTATATGTCTAATCACTTATGGGGAAACACTGTAACACTTCAATTGAAGCCGCTTATCATCAACAACAATTAGGACAACCCCACGCATCATGGTGTAGTCAACACTTACAAATCAAAAAAAGAATAATTGTGTTCCTCCCCAAGTGAACATGCAAAGGTCTCAAAGAATCAACTTGGCTTTATGTCCAGAGAGATTCGCTATGGAATATAAATACCTCTTTGGCGATTGATGTTGAAGTACAGATAAAGACACAATATCTGCTTGCAGTTTATCTTGATTTAGAAAATGCCTATGATTGGGTGACAAAGGAGTGCAATGGTGAGTGCTAGAGGGCAAAGGAAATTTTCTGATATATCAAGCATATTTATGCTGGAATAGTCATGAGCTTAAGGTAGAGAATTTCTCATCGCTGTATGCTGTCATCAAGGTTCCCTTATTTTTTTGCTTTAGAAATGTATGTGCACTCCAAGATGAGGTTTCTTGGTTGATGATTCATCGATGACATGATTTTAGTGCATGAGACTCGGGAGTCAGATAAATCATAATTTAGAATTTCATAATACATCGAAGTCTAAAGGTTTTATTTTAAGTAGTCCTAAGATGATGCTAGAAATATGAATAAAAGTAAAGTTACAGGATGAGATTGCACCGTTCAAAAATGGTAGTAATTCACTATAGAGTGATGAACTCTCCTCTATTATTTCATACTACTGCACAAAGCTCACCTTGCTAATTAAGCCTGGAAACATGACACGTTTTAACCAATATGCTAGAGAAGTCCTTCAGTCCATGGGCTGGCCAAAACATCATGGCCTCGTGCAAGTCAGTCAAAAAACTTCTCCATCTTATTATATTATGAACCAGCATATATATAACAGATGTACAATATGGCAATGGTAGTCTAAAGAACATGCTTTCCATGAGCGAACTAATTATGAATTTAGGATTTACGGTATATAACGCTAATGCGGTAGTTAGCACCTAGGATCATTGAATCTATTTATCCATTTCATTTCATTAGTGTAGGCAACAAAACACACCTAAGATAATATACATTCAGTCACACGCCTTCTACTAAACCATGTAACTTTCCTCAAAGAATCAATTTTATCTTATGTAATAATTTGGTGCAAATAGATAAACAAGTCTCGTCTAGAAGGATATGAACACATCAGTAAACCAGCAAAATAAATCGTTCTTACCATTCAAGGATGCATTGAAGATGAAACTCGTGCTTGCAACTTGTCATCTGCAAATGAAACAACACAAATAATATAGACAAGAGGTCAATCTCAATTCACAATTATTAGAATAATGATTCAAAGTACATACTGTTGAGGGATCAGTTTCACAAAAAGCTTCAAGGCAAATGCTGCAAGCATCATCACGTGCTTCTTGAATTCCCCCTTCCACAAAAGCTGCAGCCGATGTCAAATGGTCCTCAGATACCTTCCCCACCTCCATCTCTTACAAATCTCAAAATCTATGAACAGAACACGAAATTCCTTAAAGAATTAGTAAGTAAATCGAAGAAAAGCTGAAATCACTAGTTTTAACAAAATTAAGACCAATTATGCACCATATGCCTGAAAGTAAAATAAGAAGTCGAACAAATTTTCAAATCTCAGTAAGACAAAAATGAATTTTAAATTATAAAAGGGAAACAAAAAGATTACTTCACAAGTCAGTGGTGAGAAATAAAAAAGGTTCAGGTATGAACAGTTTAACAACTAGGACCTGTAACATTAAAAAACATATTTATTTAAAAAATAAAAAAAAAATAAAATCACTCTTTTCTATAACTATACCATAGCACCATACCTTAATACCAAAATTAAGAACTAGAAAATCCCAAAAAGCAATCTTTATCCTAAATACGAAGACGCACACCCAAAAAATGGGAACTTTGCATTCATTACAATAATGACATACAGGGAAAGAAAAAGGGGCCAAACCCAGTAACTGAAACACATCAGATTCACAAATTGTCAAATAAGACGAAAGACAAAAATGAATCTTAAATTATAAAAGGGAAACAAAATGATTACTTCACAATTCAGTGGTGAGAAACAAAAAAGGTTCAGGTATGAACAGTTCAACAACTAAGGCCTGTAACATTAAAAAAACAAATTTATTTAAAAATAATCATTCACGTTAATACCAAAATTGAGAACTAGAAAAATCCAAAAAAGCAATCTTTATCCCACAAACAGGGACGGACACCCAAAAAATGGAAACTTTGCATTCATAACAATAATGACATTTAGGAAAGCAAAAGGGCCAAGCCCAGTAACTGAAATACATCAGATTCACATAATCACAGACAAAAATGCCAATTACTTTAAATGCAAGACAGATTTTTTTATCAAGAAAAGTGAGCCAACCTAACAGTAGATCAAAAATAAGATCAATGAAGCAACGATCAGTATATACAGAGTGTGGAAAAGATGAAGAAGATTAATCTGTAGCAAATGAAGAAATAAACCTAAGAATGAAGGAGAAGAAGACTTGTACACTTTTCTTTTCGTTGGTTTACAAAGAATTATTATTGTTTACTTTTTTTTTTTTTTTTTTTTTTTTCTTTTTTTTTTTTTTTAAAAAAATTTTTTTTTTTTTTTTTTTTTTTTTTTTTTTTTTTTTTCCTGAATCCCACTCAACACACGGCAAGGAACGAAAGTAAAAGTATACCCTCTTGTTTTGTCTTCCACTAGCTACAGAACCAACACGTGGCATCGAAGCAGATCAATCATGCGTTAGACTATGATAGAACACCTTAAACTGATACAATACCTTGCCGTCTCGAATAAAATATTTTATATCGTTAGACAACCTTCGAAACAAAATGATTTCACTTTACCCAAAGTCATTTCGTTTTGATATTATTATTAATGAATGCAGACGAAATAATTTAAAATTTTAGTTTAAACCCATAATTTACCGCAAAATAGTTTCAAGATTTTAGTTTAAACACTTGCTTGATACTTTGGCAGATTAATTGGGGGGTTCTTGAGCACTGGTCAATTTGAAACACAACATGCGATTTAATCTGTCTGCAGCTTGAGGGACCAAGGTGTAGATTCCAAGATTTAGTCACTGTAACGTGGATACCTGGATATAAAAAAAAAAAAAAGATTTTAGTTTAAACACATTATAGTTATGAAATTGCAATTTAACTCAAAAAAAAATTTGTAATTCTAAAAACGGCATCAAATTTTTTCATACATATATAAAAAGAGTGAAAGAAGCCCTGGACACGTGTCGCAAATATGTATCGTCCTCTACTCTCTTGTTTTTCTTCTCGTTTCATTAGCCGAAATGGAAGAAAGCGTGGGGCGGTACCCATTTGTCCTCTTTGTCCATTCTTCCACTCAACCTATCACTCCTACTACTCTTGCACTGTACCACTCCTACACTCTTCTTCGTCTTCCCCTTCTTTCCAAAAATCTAAATAATTCAAATTTGTAAAAGAAAGCTAAATTGCACATACTATTGCTAAGGGTTCATCAGTTACTCTTATATAAGTTACACGATTACTTTCTTTTTATCTATTCAATCTTTTTATCTATTCAAATAGAATCAATTAGATTTGAAAATTTTAATTCAATCGAGTTTGAACACGAATTGCATCAGTGGGAAGAAAAAACTCTGCGCAGCGCGAAGATATGTAGTCTCCACGCTGCGCAGAGATTGTAGTACGGATTAAATAAATTGCAAGTCTTGATGATTATGGTGAATTTGTTTGTGTAAAAATTATCTATTTCTATTTTTCTTTCTTAATTTTTCAATTAACAAATTGATACTTCAAAATACAGAAGAATTACTGATAGACTGCTCGAAAATAAGTCTGAAAAGTAATGGTTGTATACATATATTTTCTTGTGGGTTTTGGTTTCTTTTAGTGATTGGATGTCAAAGTGGAAGAAGAAGAAGAAGAAGAAGCAGCAGCAGCAGCAGCAGAAGAAAAAACAGACTGCTGAGAAAAGAAGAAAAAGACATAGTTTGTAGAATGACTGAGAAAAGGTAAAACCACCATATGGTGACTATGAGGGTAAATGAACAACTGGACACAAAGAGAAAGTATTCAGTCATCTACAAAAACCTAAGAATCTTGGCACTTTGGATAATGCTAATGTTGATTTTTAGTGCACAAATTTATGATTACATGGACGATGAGTACAAGGAGGGGATGAAGGAAGTGCTTGTGAGCATGTGTGACCAAAGGGCTAGAATGTTGCAGGATCAATTTAGTGCTAGTGTCAACCACGTGCACGCCCTCGCCATCCTCGTTTCCACTTTCTATTATCTCAAGAACCCATCAACAATTGAACAGTTTTTTTTTTTTTTTAATGAATTTTCATTGTTTATGTTGAAAATTTTGTGAATTTTAGTAAGCCCTTTTCTTGTTTATGTTATGGGGTCCCTATATTCCTGTTGAAACCATAAATGTAGGTTTCTTTGGTATTCCGTTTCCTTTTGATGTTCTGTTTTTTTATTACTTTCTGAATTTTGGACATTTGTAGATGTTTATGATGATGTAAAATGCAACAAACTTTTACTGTATACACCAGAATAATTACTGATAAACTGCTCTCAGTGCTAGAGCGCTGCGCGAAGACATGTTAGCTCCGCTGCCTCCGCAGCGTTGTACTGTGCGAAGACATCTGGTCTCCTCACATCTCAAATTGTATTCCCCCATCCTATTGAAACTTCTTCTACCCCTTAACCCTAAAACTTGTACGTCTCATTTCTTCTTCTCCGTGCCTTTTTTTCTCAATTTCCCGATTTTTGAAAAAAAATTAGGGTTATCAATTTTTTATGAAATTATAGTCAAATGTTGGGCAAATTCTTTCGTTTAGGCCTTCGTTTATACTTTGTTTCATTTTTTGGTAAATTTTATTTTTGTTATATCTCTATAAATTTAAGTCGGATTTGAATTCCATTTGTTGGAGGATAATCTTTAAAATTAGGACTTTCAATTTCAGTCATTATCTTGATTTTTTCCATTTTTGAAAAAAAAAATCTTTTTTTATTATTTTTAATTTTTCTGAATTTTCCTAGCTATGTAAAGCATTGTAATTGATTGACAGAAATAAAAATTTTCGGGAGTTTTTTTTACTAAGGTGAAACATTGGGTTATATGATTTTTTACTTTGTGCTTACAATGGCAATGAGAGAACGACAGACACTAGCTCTAAAATTCCTCTCCTTACTTATGTTCAAGAGGTAGATTGAGGCTTAACTATTTTTTATATTGTTTTGAACACATTGTTATTTTATGAGTTGAAAATTTTGATGGAGGACTCATCAATGATATTTATTCTAAGTTAAGTTAACATGATTTTCCGTGTTAAATTTTTTGATGAAGGATGATATGATCTCAGCTGACAAGCATGCTCTCATTATGCCACCATTCATGGGTGGAGGAAAGCAAATGCATCCTATACCATTTTCTGATTCCTCCATGACTGGTAATTTCTTTGAGATTTACTAGAGCACTTCCCTAATTAATTTGCTAGAATTGAATAGAAGGTTAATTTAACTATCGATATGGCACTTCCACCCCGCTTGATGGATCCTAAGAACGATTTAGCTGTGTATGGGTATGTTACCGTTGCTTGGAAGGAAAGAATGGAAGAAAAAACAAAATGAAAAACTTCAAGTACTGAAGCATCAAGAAGATAAGGATGGAAACAATAGTGAGAGGGATGATCCTAATTTACCCAAGTAGGTCAACCTGTTTTGTTTCTTTTATCATATGCTGCTTTACAGGATCTTGACTTTAGTGTTTTTATTTATATAAATAGTTTTTTATGTTCTATGTTTTGGTCCATCAGATTGCATCTTCTTTTCCTTAGGTTAGTTTTTTATAAGCTTAAATAGATTGAATAATCCATTAACATGAGATATGAAAGAAAAGAGATGAGAAGTTTTCAAACATACACACACTTATTTTTAACGCTATTCAACTAATAACGTGCAACACACGTTCATCCCACTAGTAATTATAAAAATATACACACTAGTTCAGTTTTACCTTCACAGATGCCTGTATTCCACAAGATATTTTTGGGTCTTTTTGAATTAGTTTTAACAAGTTTTTAAATCGAGTTTCACCTCAAGATTTTATGATAATTTCCTGTTTTATCTAAATTCCACTTTGAACTTCGAATGATATTACGACCTAACTTAATGAAAAAACATTGTAATCTTTCAAAAAAATTATCAAAATCTTAGTTGAATACAACTACTTAACTAGTTTGTACACACTTTCAAGATACCAAAAGAAATAAACTTAAATGTATTAAAAACAACATTAATGTAGTCTACTTTTGAACTATTTATGTTCCAACAAGTTATGAAATTTTGGTTTTTGTGTCGGTTAAAGCATGGCAATGTATTTTTAACAAGAGATGTGTTTTATGAGCAATAGTTATTTTCTTCTCTACTATTCTCTCATAAGTATGGCTTCTGTCTTCCCTCAAATGCGATGATTGTAATTTGAGAAAGAGACTTTGGCATGAGATTTGTATGTTTGATATGTCATGATCAATAATGAAACTGCAATCTAATTAATGTAGAATGCGCAAAAAAAAAAAAATGGATAAGAAAGGCAAAGTTGTAAACCCTTCATTTATCAATCGAAGAAGATGACGAAGAAAAAGAAAAACTATACATTTAAGATTGAACACGACAACCTATCAAACTTGATTCTAACTAACAAACACATTAACACTAAGGCTTTGTTTGATTGCTCCACTTTTTCCATGGAAAATGGAATTTGGATTCTATTTTCCAACTTTTGGTTGTTTGATTGTCCAAAATTTTCCCAAAAATTGAAATTCCTACTTTCGTGCCACGTCAACATTTTTCATGAAATCAAGGAATTGGAATTCTCACCAAAATTGTGAGAATTGGAATTCTCGGTTACTATAGCAATTTTTTTAATTTTTTTTTTTTTTTTTGCAATAGAAATAAATTCTAAGAATTATTGTAAAAACGTATTTTTCTTTAATTGAAAATTTTCATGTAAAACAAAGTCAAACGAGCACCAAAAGATAGATGATCTTCTTGATTTTTTTGTTGGCAATGAAACAAATTTCATACTCAATACCAGTAAATTCTATCCCTTTAATTGACAATTTTCATATAAAATAAAGCCAAACGAACATCAAAAAATAATTTTATTTCAACATTTTCCACGTGAAAAATTATACCAATCAAACACAATAATTTACAATTATCAGGAAAATAATTTCTAGGCAATTCAATTCCCTGTAATTTGTTTTCAATTCAATTCAATTCCATCTTTACAATCAAACGGATCCTAAGATTTATACCCAAAAAAATTGGAGCCGAAGAATTTCCTATATGAACCATTTTTCAACGTTCTATTCCATTCCACTAAGAAGAAATGGACAGAATACAAAACATTGTATCTATAGGCAAATATTTTTGTTTGGAATAGCTTAAATAGTTCTTTAAAAATTGAGAGCAAAATCCACAATTGATTTTGATAATGTATTCATGACTTTTATCAATTTTTCGACTAATCATTTTGATTGCAATATCATAGATGGGAGAATATATGAAGGAAAAGCCAAGTGTACAGCTAGCATGACAGCCCTCTCACAAATGTGGGATCCGTTATTATTTTAATCGTGAGCCCCACTTTCCCACGTGAGAGGACTGTCATATAGTTGTGAAATAAACTGTACCTGTAACACAATTCATATATGAAAAACTAGTTTGCATGATTTTTGAAAAGTTACAATGAACTTGTGAGAACAAAAGATATTTTTGGATTCGTTTGATTAATTTTATGAAATTGCTTCTTTCAAATAGACGAGTTTTTAGAAAAAAACTACTCTCGCGTAACTTTCTCTAAGAGACAATTGTGGTAACTGCCTCAAAAAACTCACTTACGAGCAAAAGTAAAAAGGGAAAATTGTAGCAATGATCCCTAATATTTTCATTTTTTGTAAACTTTATCTTAACATTCATTTTGTGCCAACGAAAGTCCATAATATTTCATAAATATGAACAAAATTCATCTAAATGGAAACCGTCCAAAATACCATCAGTTGATCGAAAAAAATCCTTGAACTATCAATATCATGACGATTTTATTGAATGTTGATACCTTTTTGAACGATATTTTTGGACTGTGTTTTGAACGATTTTATTGGATATTGATTTTTTAATTTTCCCGATCAACTGACGGTGTTTTGGACGATTCTTGCCTAGATGGATCTCGGGTGCATATTTATAAAATGTTAGAAATCTCTATTGACACAAAATGAAAGTTAAGGTAAAATCTACGAAAAAATTAAAAGGTTAGAGAGTGTTGCTGCAATTTTCCCAACTAAAAATCATAACGCACGGCCCCAAATTCAGATGTTTCTGCACATAAAGTAAATTGACAAATGACTAATCATTCTCAGCCCTTTGAGAAGCACTTCTCCAGAATCCAGCCTCATCAAATCGATTCCACATCTCTTTATCCCAATCAATTGCTTCGTTTTTTTCACTGTTCCTATAATCTCGACCGTCTGACGTCGGTTCATCATCATAATCGGAATCGAATCCAAACATATTCATATGTGATCGAGTTCTAATTTTCCGTTGATTTTCCTTTTCCTCCAACGACGAATTTTTCCTCTTCTTTTTGAGTAATTGTTTCCCCTTCTTTTCTCTCCAGGCCTTCTTGCATAGCCTCTTGGGGAGCCTGTATATCGCGAGGACCAGGAGGTGCATCATGGCGCATGGACAACAGCAACAAACGGCGGCGCACTCTCCCGCCGTCTCCCCTATTCTACTTCCCCGGTGACTCCCATCACCATCGCCGTTCTCATCGTTCCGATTACTTCCACCGTTCGTCTTTGGTGTCGTAATCAGCAACGGTTGCCTCCGCGTCAAAGACGCCGCCACCACAGCCGACTCTATCGCGATCTTCCCTGCCATAGTTGGCAATTACTGAATCGACTCTGGCGTAGTCAAAGATTCAAGATCATTGACGTGAAACTGTAATGAACATAAAATTTGTGTGTGAGAGAGAGAAAAAAAGATAGAAACCGAAAATAACAAGACTTCCAGATAGACACGACTTTATTTATAGGATTATTTGCATTAATTTAAATAAATTTTGACTCCTACAATAAATAAATATAATTTGAGGTATAAATTTGTATTTAACTTTGTCTTTTATTTATTTATTTATTTGTTTGTTTATTATTATTATTATTATTTATGATAAAACCCCTATTTGGTGAAAATTAAAATTAAAATTTCAATAGATTTTGATAGAAATTTATGAAATGTGCGATTAATAAGTTGTGGACCGCATAAAAATATGTAGGTAAAATTAATTATTAACTTTGACTTAAATTAAAATTTTGATTTAACCATTACCAATCGAGGATAAGTATAATAATAATGGTAACTCGAAAATGTATCAAAAGCAAGTGTTATCTTATGCTTCTACTGTTATAGAAGAGCTTTCTCGTTGAAATCGTATGTTAAATGAGTATTAGGGCTATGTTTAGTAGGAATTCTGGTTGTGAATTTTTTAGACTAGTTTCTTCATGGAAAGCGTGTGTGAAACGATTATTAAGATCTATTTGGTAGGATTTTACTTTTATTTTTTTATAGAAGAATTTTATAAGAAAGTTATCTTTGTTGAATTTTCTCTATAAAAAAAAATTGGATAAATTACTTTCAATTAATTATTCGAACATATTTAAAAATAATTTATGAATATCAAAATTAACTTTTAACTTCTTAAAGATATGCTACACGAAAAAATTGATTCATATGATGGGGAGAAGGGTGGATAAAACAATAAGGTTGTGTTTGATAACTCCATTTTGACAAGGGAATTTAAGTTCCATTTTTCTTTCATTTGCCTTGTTTGATAGGCAACATTTTCTAGGCAATATAATTTCAATTTTCCATGGCACGTGACTTGTTTTCTACCAAATTGAGGAATTCATTTTCTTGCGGGTGGCGTGGGGAGGGGTATGGTTTTTGGTTTTCCAGGCAATTGGCAACTTCTGTTCTTTTTTTTCCTTTCTTTTTTTTTATTTAGCAATAGAAATAAATTCTATCACCAATTCTAAAAAAGGATATTCCTTAAATTGACAATTTTTATGCAAAACAAAGCCAAATAAACCTCAAAAAATACTTTTATTTTAATATTTTTCATGTGAAAAATTATACCAATCAAATACAAAAATTGACAATTCTCAGAAAAATAATTTTAAGTCAATTCAATTTCTTGAAATTCGTTTTCTTTACATTCAAATTTTATTTTTACAATCAAACGGATCCTAAATACAAGAAAATAAATGTATAGAAAGAACAGCACACAGGCAGGCTTTTATCTCACCAAGTCCCACCTAGACGTGGAATTATCTATTTGACTGGTCTTCATTTATTTTAAAAATGGCTTGAGTGAGATTCTACCTACTGTTAGGGCTTGTCTGAGTCCCATTTTTGTTATAAAAAAAAATGTATTTTTGAATAGTATATTGATAAAAAATGTATAGTTTAAAAAATAAAAAAATTAAATTTATGTATAATGTTATTTTATTGAAGAATATGTAGTTGAAATATGATCAAAATACTATTTAAAATGCATTTTTTTCCAAAAAAAATGGAACTCAAAGAAGGGCTAATATTTGATTTCGTCTTAATCGATATTTAAATATATTTTTGTTCATATATTTTATAGAACTCATATATTTTAGTTTAAATGGAGCTCAAATAGGGGCTAATATTTGTTTGATGAATAATGCTCGGTGTACATTATAGACACCATAATGATGTCTCGTTTGATTTTGTGACTTCTGGAATGAATCGAGCAGAAATGACTCCAGGAGTGGGTGACTTGACCACGACTTACTAAAAAGCATGGGTATGGAAATAGAAGAATTTCCCGTAATTGTGAACCTTCACATTCCTTGTTCCCCATTAATTTTTTTTTTTCAATGATACATTCATACAATAAAATATTTTGTGTATAAACTCAAAAAAAAAATTCCTAATTTTAAACTATACATTCGCTAAAAAACACTATTCTAAAATTATTTTCCACAAAAATTTCTCTCTCTCTCTCTCTCTCTCTCTCTCTCTCTCTCTCTCCACCTTTGACCCAGTTACAGGTTTATGTGTCAAAAATAGGCTTTGAAAATTTAACATTTTGGTGGGTGGGGTGGAACAAATTCAACCCCTTTAAAATGATCAATATCTGTATTGATACAATTTTTGGACCATATCTGTAGTAGAGCTCGTGGGAAATTAGATTCGACTCCATTCGTACCTAACTCTTTACATTGAAATTTTCTTTTAGGGGAAATTACACCCATTCATATGTTTTAAGATCTAATTTTAAAAATCAGATCCAAAGTTTGTTTATTTAAAAATCAGATATTTTTAATTAATATATATATAAAATAAATATTTTTAGACAGTGTTTGTTGGGGATTAAAATTGGATTTTTTTAGTAAATTGTGATAGAAGTTTTTGAAATATGTGATTAAAAAGTTGTAGGATTGTTGTCGATTTTATCCCGCTAGTGGATGGATTGTAACAAGTAGTAAAGTGAACCTTTTGAATCCGGATTATCGTTCTCACGAGGACTATACTTTAATACTCAATTTATTACTCCTAACTTCTATTTGATGAAAATAAACAAAAAGAAAAAAGAAAAAAAAAGATTGAATGTGATTTTTAAATCTAATTATTGAAAATTTCGTGAATGCAGCAAAGAATGTTTGAGAATTCAAGTAACGAAATGATATTGGGCCGGAACAATTTCACCTATTGATCACCTTTATTTCTAATATCGAAATTCATAAAACCTAAAGTATTATTCAATTGAATTCTTCTATTATATTCAATTTACCCCTCTTAAGTTCTCATTGAACCTATTTAAATAATTCAATTACATATCTACATGGGAATCAACATTATTTAAATGAAATAATAATTCTAAGAATTTATATATGACCACAGTAATTAATATAAGTATCTCTATACATTAGATTAATTTACCGAATTTTAATATGTGGTCTAAACAAAAATCAGTATCTCAACATAATTATTGTTCATGAAATCATTGAATAATTGGCCAGAAAATTCAAAGCGTTGAAAGCATAATTAAAATCTACACATAAAATATAAAAGAATAAAAATATCAAATAAAAGAAATAAAGGTTCCAAATATGTTACATTATTCGTCCTAAAATTAAATTTAACTACACATATTAATGAGAGAAAAATAAGAAATTATGGAAGACATCACCGAAAATTAACGAAACGTGATTCATTTCCAATTTTGCTCCAATTGTCCAATATTTGCTTCTGCGTGTATCTCCTTTTTTTTTTTTTTTTTTTAGCTCAAGCTGCTTCAATTCTATGTTGGTGTCTCTGCTCCGGTTTCCGTGTGTATTCTAAATAATAAATTCTAGCAACTTGGTCTCAATATTTGCAGCCCAATTTCTGCCCTCTACTGCGTGGAATATAGATATATTAATGGCAGCCATCAAGTGTTCTCTCTCCCTTGGTTTTCTGCGCGTTCTCTATTAATGGCAGAAAAAGAAATCCCCAGTTCCCTAATTCCCAACGTGTGTCTCTCTCTTTCCGCTGCCACAAAGTTTGTACAAAATATATAGAATAAAGATATTTGTTCAAAATTTTATTGACAAAATGATGAACTCACTCTCACAAAATTAACGGATTTCACGTGAATTTAGAAAATGTCGACTTGTGGTCTCCAACTCACATTGTAAGTAGTGAATAAGAAAGTTTGTAAAAATAAAATTATACATGTAATATGATCCAAATATATAATATTGGCTGCCCCTCCCAAATTTTCGTGCGTCTCTTTTTTTTAATAATAAAAGCAGACCTCAATTTCACTTCAAAAAGGACTCTAGCTGCTGCCTAATTCCTCCTGCTTGTACACATCTCTATCTTAACCCTACAGCCACAATATTTGACTCCAATTCTTGGCCATTAATGCGATGTTACTTTTGAAGTCCTCAATCTTTCAATATAATAAATTTTAGTTGTTGAGCCTTTTTATTATTGCAATCCATGTATTCTTTAGTTCAATTCAAGTCATTCACTTTTCAAAGTATAAAATTTGATCTCTGAACTTTGCTTCTAGTAGCCAATTTACTCCTCGTACTTTAGAGTTTGTCATTTCTTTGCCGATTTTTGCTTCCTTCCTTCGATTTCCTTTTTACTCATAGAATTTACCTATTAAACATAAAAAATAATAATTTAGGATATATTTTGTCGAAATAACCATCAAATATCATCATTGTAGGTACCGAATAAGTGTATAAAATATATTTATTAAGGATCCATGAAAGATGTAGTTAATATTGATTGTTTGACTTTGACTTGAATTAAAATCAAATTTTAATTTGAACCAAACAGGCTCTGAATACAACAATTCAAAAGCTAATTCATCTACCACACAATTTCAATCTCAAATCCTATTATCTCTCCCCTATCTCTCTCGTCTTCTTCACTAAGCTGCACACAATTATCACCGACTAAGGCGATCCACACACAGACCACCGGAGGTGAGCGTCGCGCATCATGCGATCAACATGACTGCACACAACCAGCAGCATTTTGGTTCTGGTGATGGCAGTTGAGAATTTGATTCATTCGTGGTGTTAAGGTGGCTGTGGCGGCGATTTGTTGGATTAGGTAGTGACAGTTGTTTTGTTGGTGGATCTTGTTGGTGGCAAGTTTGTTAGATTTTGTTAGTGGAAACCGTGACGATGTTTGTGTTGGTGGTTGTGGTGGTGAGGTGATAGTGGTGGTGGTCATTTAATCCCTAATTTATGTAGTGGTGATAGTGGTGGTTGTGAGGTGATGGTGATGGAGGTGGTCGTTGTGGCAAGGAATTGGGATATGGTCATTTGTTACTAGGGTTGCGATTGGCTTCTCATGCGTTCACAGTTTTTGCACTCATAGTAATATAGTTTGTACTATTTTGTTGGTCGATTGTCCCTTTTGGGAGGAGGTGGTGGTGGTTCTGGTAGCGATAATGATGGTGTCACAAATTACTTTGTTTATTGTAACCATAAAATTGGTTAATCTGTAACAAATAAACAATATGTAACCAATGAAAAGATAAAAATGTGACACCAA